GACGGCTACGCCGACCACAGGGAGGGCATTGACGACGCCCAAGACGAGACCCAGCGGGATTGGAATCGGGATGGCGAAGAGCACGAATGGGCAATACAGGCCAGGCCAGCGGCCCACGACGAGTTTCGGTCAGAGCTTGAGACAAAGTATCTCGACTCCCAACGCAGGCAGTGGTGCGAGTCCGTCGCTAGGGCCCGAGACGAGTTTCGACGAGACCGCAGAAGATGCTGAAAGCACGCCGACACCGACGCCGCATGCCAGTCGAAGTGCCAATGTTGAGCAGTATGAGACCAAGATACGGGCCTTGAGTGACGAGTTGAACGACGCGAGACGGCAACTTCGTGATCAGGGCGCGAACTTTGCCGAGGTGGAGCGGAATTTCAGCGAACTGCAGAAGATACTACCCAGCCTGGAGGCGGGGAGTAAGCGCTCCGGCGATGATGAGGACGACGATCTACCCCGCGATGTCGTGGCGCTGAGGGAGATTGTCAGGGAGAAGAATGAGAAGATAAAGCTGCTTACGGCCGAGTTCGACGCGAATCGTGCAGATTTTAGGTCGACCATTGATACGTTGGAGATGGCGAGTACGGAGACGGAAAGGGTATATGAGAAGCGGGTCGACGAACTGCTTGAGGAAGTGAGAAACTTGCAGGATCGGAGTGAGGATGTCGAGTCTGTGGCACAGCAGCTTAAGCAGCTTGAGGAACTTGTGCAGGAGCTTGAGGAGGGCCTCGAGGATGCAAGGCGAGGCGAGGCCGAGGCCCGTGGGGAAGTCGAGTTCCTTCGTGGCGAGGTCGAGAGGTCGAGAAGCGAGTTGCGCAGAGAGAGGGAGCGGTTAAAAACCGAGGACCAGCTGAATGGCTATTCGGCTGGTAATGTGGACGATCTGAAAACCCAACTTGGCGCGAAGGATGATGAAATTAGAGGGCTCAAGGCGATCATTCAGAGTCTTAATGAAAGCCAGCAGTCGCCGAAGATGAATGGAAATACCTCGAAGCCGAACGGACTTGTGAGGAAAATGAAGGAGGGCCTTGAGCATGGTGACGAAGAGAATCGATTGAGTCTACGACAGCAGATCCAAGATCTCGAGGCCTTGTTGCAGCAGAAAAGTGCGCATGAGGAGGAGCTCACGAACGAAGTGATGCATTTGCGGAACAGTGTTACGCTCTCCAAGTTCCCAATGTCGGGCGCCGCCTTTGGGCTGCACACGGCCATCAGGTCTCCTGGCGGTCATTCTCGGGGCAATAGTGAAGAGCTAGATCGGAAGCACCTCAGTACTGGAACCACTGGCAGTCAGCGCACTGTTGTGCTTGGACGTGGCTCGGGTCCACGGGGCAACGCACGTGGATCGCACGACCCTGACCGTCGAAGCGCATCACCCCTGAAGCATCATGAACAGATGGACGATGGTGTGACTGATGTTTCGAGTTCAAGTGCGCCATTGTGGTGCGAAATCTGTGAGGAGAGCGGCCATGATATCCTCACGTGCTCGAATATGTTCGGCCCAGGGAAGAGCAATGGTCAGGGCAGTCTGGGTAAGAGAAGCGGGAAAGACGTCGTTCGCGAAGGACTACGACGTAGCGGAGATCAGAGCCAAATATTGTCAGGTACCGACCCGGACAGACCTGCACCTTTGGTCAGTCGGAAGGGCAGTAACACAGTACCGAGTGCGATTATGCCAACAGTGCCGTCAGCACCAGTCGAGGAGGAGGGTAGACCGCCTACGCCGCCGGCCAAGGATGATCCATCACCCACCTCGACACCATCACGTGCACCTGCAATGGTTGAAGGCACAGGAGTCCAGGCGGGTATGCTCGCTGGCCGGACCAGTGGTGTGATCGACCCGGAGAAATGGTGCGCACTGTGCGAAAGAGATGGACATGATTCGGTTGATTGTCCACTCGAAGATGCTTTCTAGTGGGGAGCATGGTAGGACTGTCCATGTCAGTTGTTTCTGAGACAAGGAAAAAGCAAGCATTGCGTTCTGCTTTTGGTTCTTGCTTCCTTCAGCTGTGGTTGTGGTGGGCATTTGTTGCTGGATATCTTTTTTCATACTGAGCGTTCAGGATGCGTCGATTGAGTCAAGACAGATGATTGTCCGTTGATGGTGGCCAGCTCTGTGGATACGGTTCTTGTGGATACAATATTTCTCTTCTGCCAATGTATAGTCTTTTTGACCAGGGTCGTGGTTTCAAGAGCGCTGTGATGGAGTCTGGCCGGTGTCCGCCTTTGGATGGGATCTCAGGAGGAACATTCTACTCAGACTTGGGGAGTGGCAGCAACAGCCTGTGGCTTCCCTGCATGCTGTGGCTAACATCAGTGCGAGCAAGTCCAGTATAAGTAAGTTGTTGGTTGCTACTGTTTGCGTGTTATTTGATTGTACCTTCCTCTTACTTGAACACCAAGCAGGATGCTCCTTTTCAAAAAGCACGAGGCAGGAGCATTTGAGGTAGGTGTTTGCCTCAAAGCAGCCTCTACTTACCCACTGGGTTTGTTGTTTCATCTGTTTGCTGTTGTTCTTATCCGGTTCGCCTTTTCTTCCCGAGCATTTGTTACAATCAGCATCTTTTCCATGAGCATATTTGATTGCGGTAAACCCGAGATTGACTTTCAACTTGAATACGTTCCGCCTCTTCTTTCCTGCTTTTACCGGCTAACAGGACATACAACACGGCTCAACCTTCTCGAGTACAGACCTCCACCCAGGTTCACCGCCTGGAAGAATTGCGATTGGGCGGAGTGAGACACAATCAGGAAACCACTGTTCTCCTTTTATTTGCATATTGATTCTCCGTGGGTTGAACTCGTGACGCCCAGCGAATACCGCACATGATGTCCTTGGAAGTGGATGTATTTGGACAACTCGTACTGTCATATTCATGCGACGAGGTGGGGATCTGGAAAGTCCTCCGGCAAGTGTGGTCCGATGAAGATCTTCGCACAAAGGAAACCTGGAATATCCTCGCAGAACAGGTGCGGCGGTTGGAAGCTGGTCGATCAAGAAATGAGCTAGAACAGTGGGTCAAAGAGGCTCGAGCACTACGGGCGACTGATCCCGAAGATGAACGTCAACGGAAGGAGAAGAACAGCCTGAATCGCAGGCTTGAGGCGTTGCGTTCCATTTTGTCTTCCGAACCTCCAAGGCGACTTTCTCACGATCAAAACCCACTCTTCGATTCATCGAAGACCACCGGCCGTGCGAAAACCAACGGGCAAGCGCAAACGAGAGACTCGGAACAGACTGCAGCACGCATCGAATCTGCCAAAAGCGCCCTCAGAAAACCCATTTCTACACTGTCAACTTTACGGAATGGGAATCCCCGATGGAATCCACGTTACCCTACACGGCATGTGACTTCAACCCTAACCAGCTCACAACTTGCTTCTGCTCTTGCTCATGCCGACAGAGAGGAGACGCTGTTCATTCCAGAAGCAATGTTACCACCCTCAATCAGGGCCACCTTGCGATCCAATGGGGGTCAGAATCAAACAGCCCCAGAGACAACGCCCCCAATCTCAAGTACGCGCACTGTTCGATCCAATGGGGTTCAGAATCAAACAACCCCAGAGACAACGCCCCCAACCTCAAGCAGGCGCACCGTTCGATCCAATGGAGGTCAGAATGGAAGAAGCCAAGAGGAACCAGTACGCTCTCCATATCCAACAGAAACTAGAAGCTCAAACGGGGGTCAGAATGAAAGAAACCGAGAAGGATCAGTACGCTCTCCACATCCAACAGATAGTACAAGAGTAGCCTCTGGAAGACATGCTCCTGATTCCAATCAGACCCGAGAAAGGCGGCGCCTAGAGAGATCTCCCAGGTCACCGCCTGAAGATGACGCCACTGAGGCCAAAAAGAAGCAACGTCGAAGAAGCCGCTTTGATATCTTACCCAACGACCTGAGCTCACTCACGAAAAGTGACCCTGTTCATGACAACGGGTATGAAACCTCTGGAAGGCATGCTCCTCATTCTCACCGGAGCCGAGAAAGACGCTACCTAGAGACGTCGCCCCAGTCACCACCTCACGAATACTTTACTGAGGCCAGAAAGAAGCAAAGTCTAAGAAGCCACTTCTCATCTGTTAACCAGATGGCGATTACCGAACGTGGTCGTCGAAGAAGCCGCTTTGATGTCTACCCTGACAACTCCTATCCACTTGAGGAACGCGACCGTACACATGACAATGGTTATGAAGAAGCGCGCTCTCAGCAATCAAACAGCGGTTCACACTTGCTTCGGAGAGAATCAGAGCGGTGGCGATCGAGTTCTTGAGGTATCTTTGGGATACACCGTATGGTGTCAGGATGATTGCCTAGGCTTAAAGTGAGTCAAGCTGTGCTGTTGCCGCTATTGCGGCTGGTAAGAGGAGTGGGAAGCATCCTAGGTCCTTCAGAACTTCTTGGAGAGGGATACGCCATAGATTGCATGCTTCAATGATGATATACGTATTTGTTGAGTCCGTGTGTATGCTTGGTCCGCCTGGTCTGCCAGGCTCGCGCTATCGATGATTGTGACTGAAGGTTTTCAGGAAGCCAATCACAATGGATAATTGATAGTAAAAAGCCTCAAAAGCAGCATATTTCCCTTTACGGTAATGCCATTCCCATTTAGGGCCTTCTTTTGCAAATTTCATGGCCCAGCATCCGGGCTCAAGACTTGGCGGGACGGACATAGATTTATCCGCGAGGCTATCATAGTACTTCGTATTAGCTACCGTAGTTAGCATGTTCAATGGACCGGCCACATCTCCATTCGCGGTCAGCTGGGAAAGGTTCACACGGTTCAGTCACCCAGACTAAGCTGTTCTCCGGTTCGATCTTGCGAGAAGTTACCTAGGTAAGGACAGCACAAAAAGAGTAGACGGGAACACCCGCCACACTTGGCGCCAGCTCATGCTTCATATTCCGTGCCAAACAAAAATGTATGCAAAGAACGGTATGCTGCTAATATGCAAAAACAATTCTACCACTCGGTTTGGAATGCTGTGAGACTCTTTCTGCTTCCACACGGATTTGAACCGTGGACCTCGGCATTACTAGTGCCGCGCTCTACCAACTGAGCCATAGAAGCTGGGAAATTGATTTGACAAGTCCATGTGTGTGTGTGCGCGGCAAATGCTGCTTTTCGAAGCGAAATTTCAGGACAGGGACATATATAGCGTGGAAAAGTTTTTGACGTCTTGTCACCTGCGTACCTAGGTGGTGCCGGAGTGGGCACTAATACCCAGGTAAGTACCACTGTCCACATGGCCCAGAAGCTCCTGAAACAGTTTGACAGCTCGATGACAGGCACTACACAGTAAGTCCCACAGTTGGGAAGTGTGGGATTGTCTACTGTGGTACAAGTACGTAGGTACGGCGAGAGGTACCAGGTATCTTTGTCGGCAGACACTGTCTGGGCGACCTCTGCCAAATATATAGTTCAAGTAGGTCTGGTCGTAGCAGCTGTATCCCAGCAGGCTCTTCTCACGGCATGTCGGGGAGAGCTCTCTGCCATCGTTCCTGCTTTCGCGCAACAGATGCGGAAGTTCGGCGTCACGTCCATGGTACGAGTACCATATCCACCCATTCTCTTCTTCATCCTCTTCTCGGCGGAAAGCTGGTGTAGCCTCGCATGCGGCTTTTGCGTAGACTTCTCGACTACCGTGCAGGCTTCGAAAATGTCCTCGCCGACCGGGAGGCGAATCTGGCGGCCCTCATCGCGCCCTTTTCCCGCGGCCAAGTCGTATAAGTAGCGGTTGTGTCAGGTGCTGCGAGGCTGGTGGCTTTGATATGGTTCAGCATGTAGTTCGCATCTCGTGGCGCAAGGACTTTTGATGGGATAGCTGTCCAGATTTCGCCCCCCTCGTATCATCTTGTGCAGGTCAAGTAGTGTGTTACATCACCTTTGCAGCGTCGATGGACGTGCTGCTGATGCAAGAATTGTTGCGCGATTTCAGATGTAGCCTCCGTGCTTCGCAAAATGCAGGCCAGCTGCCCAGTAAAACAACTTGCCTGCCACCATGTAATTGTCTTGAGCGCTCCAACTCATCAGCCGATCATATAGCTCGGTCAAGGGTACCATGACTCTTTCGATCAATTCTCCCTCGTCGAGTTTCTGATCTGGCATTATGTCCTCCTTTTCGCTTAGCTTCACCTCCATCATCACGAGCTTGAGGGTCGCATTGGTCAGGCCAGGATCACTAGCCACCACCGGTCCCGTGTGAAGTATTTTCCCCTCGTATCCTGTCTCTTCCTTCATTTCTCTGACTGCAGCTTCCTCGGGCGTCTCGTGTTCGTCGACCAACCCAGCAGGCCATTCAATGGTATACTTCCCAATCGGAGGACGATATTGGATGACGAGCATGGTGCTTGGAGGTTTGGAGGGGTGGACAAAGATGTTTCCTATAGCGACGGCATCGACACCGGACTTGGAGGTTGTCTTGCGAACTGCAATTTCCCAGGTGCGAGAGGTGCCTGTCTGGTCTATGAAGTCGATCTTCTTCAAAGCAACCCATTTGGCTTCGGCAGAGGCGAGGTCTGTAACCGAGACAATCTGTGGCTCTTGAGTCTTGGGCGACATGATCACTGTGCAATGAATGGCAGCTTGAGGTATCGTAGAAGTGCAGTGCAATATCGTGAGGGAAGCATTGGACGGACGTCACCAAAGCTTTACCGATGATGCCGCCATCACCGCCAAGAGCGCTGCTTCTCCTTCTTCAGCTACATTCCTGTGGCTTTTTCTTCCCTACCAGTTCACAGAACCTGTCTGGACGAGTTGTTGTTCATAATGCACATTCTAACTCCTCGTCATTTCATCGACTGTTTAGGCTTCAATGACCCGGCCTCCCGTGCTGGCTCCAGCGTGAGTAAGGCGCTGCTAACGATACAACCGTACGCGGCCAGCTGAGGAGGGTCCAAAAGTTCCTTCCAAGATTCTTGTGCTCGTATCAATTTCAGCCCGATTACAACCTTGACGAGTGAATCCAAGCTGCCGAGAAGAGGCGCGCTGCTAACAAATCTGGGCAAGTCAAAAAACACGAACGTGCATAAGACCGAGATCAGCTGTCTCGGCCAGCAAATACTGCATTACTTCGAGTCATTGGTTGGTACCTTGAGCTGCGTCGCCTCGTATCACAGGGTCTGGGTGGCCAATACACGAGCGCCCTCTCTACGAGCACGAATCTTGATCAGCTGCGCACTCGATCGCAGACCACCCTACTGCTAATAAAGGACTATATATCGCCCAAACGATGTACTGGGCCATTACCCGCTTACGGATTCAGTAGGTCTGGATATTTTGGTCACGACTAAGAGCGTGAAAACTACATGCTATCTAGCCTGATCGCTATCAGACTTACACTTAAATTGGCTTCGAGATTCGGAGGCCTTCATTAAGCAGGGCAAAGCTACCGTACGACGATGACGGACCTGGAAAGCTCTCTACGGGATAGCCTGGAAGCATCTCTGTCAAAGCTCAAAGAGGGCGTGGACTCGGTCACCCGCAAAAAGCCTGCATTTCTCGAGCTCAGCGCAAACCTGCTTGCTGCTCTGCAGGAAGGTAATCTGACGGTTTTGAGCACATCAGAGGACTTCCAGACCGTCACCGATGGCGTTTTGAAAGCGAAGGAAACGAAAAGCGCCTCGCTCTCACACAGACTGGGCGACGGCTTGTTCAGACTTGTCCCTTTGGCAGGGATTGCTCTTGGGGTCACAGGCTTTGCAGCAGATGTAAGGGGCCCTGCTTCGAAAGCGATAGCCGTACTGACCGGCAGGCATCGGGCTTTTCACCACTTGGACTCGTCGTTACAGGTCTAGGGTCGGTTCTAGCCGTGAGTCGTCAGTCTCCAGATCAAAGCCGTCCCGATCTCATGAACAGGTAGTTCGCAATCGAGGTGAAGGAGCGAGGAGAGGCAATCGTGGCTCAACTGAACGACATATCTTACAGTCATCGTTTCGTGCACAGAATCATTCGTGCCAACAGGAATCACGATACCGACATTGTTAATGGCGCTCTGCGCCTTCTGACTGCACTGAACGTTTTCCTTGGCGACAGCTTGCTCTATCTTTCAACTTCCTCGTTGGTGAATGCGATCAAGAGCTTAGGGACTCGTTCCGTTGACAGCTCGAGAGCCACACTCGCCGACGCGATTCAGGGTTTTAGATCGACGGTGCAGGACAAGGTCAATTCAATAGCGTTGGAGAAGGATGAAGAGGAAAAGGATCTTGCACTAAACCAATGGTTCGAGGCGCTGAACTTCCGCGAAGTCCAATCAAGGCACGAGCGTGAGGCTTGCGAAGGCACTGGGTTATGGTTCTTGGAGGATGCCGAGATCATGACATTCATGAACGGCGGGACTCGGCGGTTATGGTGTCATGGTCAAGGTAAATCACGTTCCAACATTTGAGGTGCATAACTCATACTTCGAATAGCGGGTGTTGGCAAGACGGTTCTTGTGTGAGTGACACTCGAATGCTGACAAACCCGCTCGTTGACATTGTGCAGCTCGTTGCTCGTCGCATCCTTGAAACAACAGCTTCGAGATAAACCAAAAGAAGCGAAGCGGTCCTCTGAAATCCTGCTATACGTCTATTGCGACGTCAACGATCAAGAGAGACAGGTTGTGACGGCCATCCTCAGCTCCATTGCCGCTCAAATTTTGCAAGCACGATTGGGCGATATTCGGACTACGGCTTGCGCGTTTCACGAGGCGCACCAGGAAAGGCGTCCAGACCATGGTGAATTGATGGACTTTATTGTAGCGAGCTTACGTGGACTTTCCCAGGTCTACCTGATTGTTGATGCCGTTGACGAGCTCTCAATCTACGAGAACTTCTCGGACCAGGTCAGCATACTATCTGGGCGGCTCCGAGCCGCTGGTACACCTCTCGCGGTGTTCACCACCTCCCGATCCGACAAGATTCCACACTGGTATCAGCCAAACTACGTCCTCTACATTGAGACTCCCGTGGCCGACCTGAAGCACTATGTCGATACTAGGATCAAACTCCGCTCGCCAACCACGTTCAGCTTGGACCAAGGTTCTCGAAAATTGATTGTTGACACGATAACTTCAGGAGCCGAGAACAGGTATGCTTACCACTCCCTTGGGACACGGCAATTGACACGGATATAGATTTATACTAGGTCGGTTACAGCTGGATGGTCTCTACAGGCGCCGACCTGGCAGTCCAGGTGACTTGAAAGCTGTGCTTTCTCACCTCTCTGCTGATTTAGATGAATTTTACGATAAGTCTATGCAAATAATCAAGGAAGACCGCGACGACGCGTTACGTCTCCTTTCTTGGCTGATCGTTCCGCCGAAAGCTGTCAGTGAGCACCGTTTCAAACAATGGGAGAGCGTCCACCCAACACGGCGACGAGGACCATTGTCACTGCCAGAATTGGGCCATGTCCTGGCTATTCACCCTTCACAGACTGTCTCGCTCAGTACACTACAAAACTTCATGCTCAACCTCGAATACCTCATCGACGCATGCAGCGGCATGTGCAAATTTGACCGCGACTCCAACGTGGTCATCTTTCCACACCCCACGGTGCAAGAATACCTCTTGAAGAATGAGCCGTCGCTCTTTTCCAGCCTGGAGATCGACAAGTGCAGAGCTTGCATTGCGTATCTGAGCCTAGAGGAATTCAAGGCAGGAGCATGCACGACAATGCAGCAATGGGAGATACGACTCGAAACCTTTCCATTTATTGAATACGCCGCACATCACTGGTGTGAGATACGGGGACTGTCTCGAAGTTGGGAGTCCGTCAATCAAGCTCTACATACCGAGATCGTAGGTCTTCTATCCCACGAAGGCCTAGTTTCAACCCTGGCCCAAGTCCTTGCATACAGTTGTGGCTGGATGAAGAACCAGGAGGTCTACGTGCCAAAAACGTCTGGACTCATCATCGCCATGCAATTCAACCTTTTGGATGTCATGCAAGCCCTCCTCGAAAAGGGCGCCGATCCGAATTTTGTTTCCGAGACAGGTCAGACTGCTCTTGACCTTGCCATTACGGCAGACCCTCCGTATACCAAGCTCCTGCTTCATCATCATGCAGCCATCCGAGATGCAACTGGC